GTTTTTACAAGTTGGTCAAGGGAGGAGAGAGGCCTTCATTTAATTAGCAAATTTTGCATTCTACATCGGCCTCGAGCCGTTGACTTGCGACACCCTTGCTAATGATGGCGCCTTTTATTGACGATATTGACTTTAGTGCTGGTAAAATATCTGAGAATGTTGCAAATGAACGGTCCGATACTGGAAATTATCATAGATGCTATGGCTGAGTGGGCAGCACAGTGTATGTTCTCTTGATTTAGTTGTGAAAACGGGGTCAAATCAACGTCTAGCATACCCATTTGCTTGCTTGGATTCGATTTCACTTTTTGCTAGTTCGTGAAGAAATTTTGTGAATAATTCTGGAGAATCCACTGCATCATTTAGTTTATATGCATGATCATATGCATAATATATAGACTGTCTTGAGATGGACGGTGTGGTGAATTATCTCACATAATGGATATTTTCTATTTGCGAAGAAAAGTTGGGTTTCGAGGAATCTATTGTTTCATAATTGTTGAACTTACTTCCATTTCGAGTAAAAGTGTTTGGTGAAGAGATTCGAAGATCGATTTTGCAAGAATACGTCCAGCTGTAGATGTGTTTTACTGGAAAATTCATGGTGTCGCTGTTCAATTTTATATTTCCTACTAATGGCTTTCTGTTTTATTTATTAGTATTCTTTTTTGTTCTTTTTTTTATAACCGTTTAATCCTTTACTTTTACATTAGGCTGAATTGAATCTCCAAATCATTCAACTTAAAAAAGAATTGAAGGAAAAGGAGAATATTGTAGAAGAGCGCGATGAAGATATTTATATGCTTAATGAAGACAAAGTATGTCTTTTCTTTTAATATCAGTATTAATCTAGTTTCTTCGATGTTGTCTGTATGTTTTTTAAATCTGCTATCTCCCTATGAATTAATTGGTATACCGGTACGGGTCCTGGTTATTGTTGGTCAAATACCCAAGAAAAAAATTCGAATTATGTTAATGCTCTTCGATTTTTCATTTCTACCGAAAAATTTCTTTTGTTGGCCTCCGGAAGGTTGTCTTAAAGTGGAAATTATTGTATTATGTCAATGAACGCAATGGATGTTACTGTGTTCATTTCTATTTCTCTACTAAGTAAAGTAACTTTTGATCTTGCAATCATGATGCTTGTTTAGATGTCTCGTTGAACCTGTAATGTTCGTACCCAAAGCTCTTGAGTTAAGTGACATGTGATAACTTTGTGCCAAATTTAAGGTATCTAACCCCCATATTGTTTTTGGTTCTTCATTTATGTCTATATCCATGAACCTGTCCAATAGCCACAAGTAATTCCTATACACTTTTATACTCCATCAGGATATTGATCATTTTGTTTATTTTTATAGACTCCCTAATCTTATGCTTAGATAATTAGACCAATATATTAAATGTATTCAAACTTATGATTTTTTGGCCTACACTCTATAATTTTCAAAAATAATAGTAAATTTTCCTTTCTACATTCTTCTGAATGGTACTTCCTCACTTTTCTTAAACTTCTTCAAAAGCCGACAGCACTGCAAGATCAGGAAAATAGTATTGGTCATACTGATAATCTTGCCTAAACAGCTTCATTTCATTTATTAGTATTAAAATGTATATGCCTATCAATCCTGGCAGATAATTTTGTGAACTTAAATATTCTTCTGGTCCTAATTGCTTGCTTTGTAGAATTAGATTTGACTTTTTTCATCTCATAACCAATGCTTAGATCCTATATGCTTGATTAGAATAGTCATTTAGCTAGAAACCCGCATGCATGTCTTCATAATGTATTTCCTTTATTTTATACTATAAAATCCATTACGATAATTTTGTCTTTATTCCTCTTCATTGCAAATGTAATAATCCATATATTCTATTCCTTAGTTCCAGGATTTCTTTTGATTCAATTGCTTTGTTGCCAAATTACAACGTAATAAGTAACGATTTACTAACATTACTATTATAACTCTGATAAATTACGGAATATAATTGCGTCTTGAAGTAAAAGGATCTACAATTGAGGTAATTATTAGTTAGGGCTGGAGCTATAAATTAACGTCTAGCTAAACTTATTTGTTCATACAAATTGAAATTGAGGGAGAACTATGTACTTTAATTTATAAGTTGTAAATCTGATGATTAAAACATTTTATTTTTGTTGACTAAGGCGGTCCATATTGCCTTATCGCATGCTACCTAAATACCTTTGAGCCATTCATCTCTTCCTATTGACTGTTTGTCCTATAGTTTAATAAAGTCCTCAGAATAATTTCCAGATTCTGGAAACTTGCTTTACCTGGTTTCAAATTAATTGCGTTTTCTTGTACATATTGCAATTATTATCATTTTCGACATTCTTGAATTTAGTACTTTTCCTATATATTTCTCCTCCTCCCCTCCTATATTTTATCTTTAATAAATGAAGTATTCAACCTCTCCAATTTATAACTGCCTGGCATAGATTTGACTTGTGCATTCATCGAACTGATCCTCATCCCAATATCCTAAAGTATCAGCTTAATTTTTTCTGAAATATGAAGATAAGTTGAGTAGATTGATGCTGGCATACTTTTCATTTGCCTTTCAGTAGAACTGGGACTCACCCTCATAAAAGTCACAAGTTAACAAGAACAAGACCTATTGTTAACATGAGATTTATAAAAATGAGATCCAGCTCTAATGATGTCCATCATATGATGAGCGAAATATCAGCCAGTTTTCACCTGAAATGGATGAAGATGTATCATGAACTGCGTCAACCTGAATTTATTATTTCAGCCAAACGTCAGCAATACAGATGAAATCAGTCATCGTATTCTCGTCAGATTGTCCTTCGAATCTGTTCATTATGCACTTTCATATTAAATGAAAGTCCCCCCTAGAATGCTTTGCTTTTGTTTCACATTCATCCTTGGAATCCCCTATTGGCCCATTACTTTTCAACGTTACTTTTTGCTTTACTAATTTATGCTTTTTTCTGCATTTTTCACATCAAATTATATATGATTCGCAATAATTCCTTGGTATTACATCTTAGTTATATCATTGCATTATTATTTTTGCAATACTATTGCGTGCAAAACTTTAAGATGAACATGTTTTCCATAAAATGCTTCTAAAAATACCATTATTTTTGGGATTATATACTAGATATGTTTCACATTATAGATATTGTCTCGTTATACACTTGCTATTTTGTGCGGAATTTATTTCAATCAGTTTTTCCTCCTTATTCAGGAGAGTCTTCAGGCTGAAAACGACGAACTTCGTCAAGAGATTGGAGAATTGCACTCTAGATTGGCCTGTGATACTCGACTTCATTCTATCTCAACTGGAGTTCAAGCACAAAGCTTCACGGATAAGCCGTTGGCTCGTGAAGATGCATCAGTTCAAGTAAATATTTCTAAAGCTTCCATGATTAAAGCCAAGTTTTATCGTAGTTAGAATGGTCAGAATGGAGTGACCTTCGGTTTGGTCGCAGTCTCATTAACTGCATGGTTTTCGTCTGTCCTCGTTTTTTGAGCCTAGTCGGAGCGTCAGGGAGATCTTATTTAATGTGTCTCTTCTCTTTCAGTATTAATTACAATTTCCTGTATTTTATCTTTGATGTTACAACTTTTTTAGTGTTTCTTTTGTTCGTCTTTCTTTGCGAATACCAGTATTATTCTCCCGAATTCGATTCCATTCAGTTGTATATGATTAACTTGATTCTTTTATAATCTATTATTCTCATGTTTTTGATCGAAAACTAGGCTACAAGGCTACCACAATTTTTGACTGCCTCAACGACTCATCAGGATTCTTCATTTACTCTAAAGCCTTAAATTTCAAAGATGTCTCAATGACTTCTATCCTAAATTCTATTAGTTTTCCAGGACTTTGTGTATGTTAGAAGCTAATAGCAATAGTAGTGCAATCACTTATTATGCTCTTATGCATACGGGATACAGTAGCTTGTATAGAGTAGCCGTGGCTATTTCGTAGAAGTAGAGACCAATATCACTTGGCTCATTTCTGGAGAGAGAAGGCATGCCAGAACGTTTGGACAACAATTTTTCGAGAGAATTATTTTCACTTGTCACTGATATGTAGCAACTCGTTTCTATATATGGTGCCTCTTATTGACTATGCAGGAGAAACGTCTGAGAATGTACAAAATTATCTGTTTTATACTGGAAGTTATTATTAATATTTAGACTAAGGACATAGTACTGGGTACGTTCCACAATAACTTTGTATACCCCTACCAAGTTACAAAAAACTGGTCAAACCACTATTGTAAATGTTCAATTTTCAGTCCTTAATCATCTCAATCGAAATAGTGGTCACTTATCTTGTGAATATTTTGCAGATATTCATGACTTAGTTTATGAATTTAGGCATTTAAACGCCATACCCAATCATTTTTGAGATATATTTGTCCATGGATAGATATCATTTTGTATGTAAAGTATTAAATTTATGCCCTTACCAATTTTTTTCACAAACCTTTTATACTCTCTGTAAAAAGACTTTTAAATGCTTCTTCATTCAAATCCTTCTGTATGATATCTGAAGATTATTCTATCATCTCCTTGCACTTCTTAACCTTTACAATAGCTTTTTATTATGTTATAGCATCATCTTTCGTTCATTGCTATTTTGTAGACGGAGATTCATGCCGCTGGAGACTATCCAAACTTGGACATCGGCGGAACCAGTCTGAGTAGGAGTCATGTTGAATCGAACCAAGAACGGCCCAGACGTAAACACAGCAATCGTTTTTCACGTCAAAAACGATGCAGTGAACAGGTTGCTTTTGTAAATGGGGACTGCCAACTAATCAGCCACACAACTAATGATAACGATGATACCGATGTTAGTGATGCCGAAGACCTTTTGCCACTTGACGCTAACTGTGATACAGGGGCTGCCACAGCGGCAATGCCAAAAGCCTTAAACGCTTCCTCTGCCTCCCTGAAACACGAACAGATGCACATGTCTGCTTCATTAACATCTCCATCTATTGTGGTTAAAATACCGGCGACGACAATAGCCAGTGCAGAGGATGAAGCAAGCGAGGTGGTAATGTTAGAAGAGAATTCAAATATATTCAGACCACCGGCAAATTTTTCCCACACAGCTGTGATATCACAACCGCTCCAGATTCAGAATGAACAAGTTGCTGAATTGCCTAAGTTAGTTTCCCCAACTTCCACCCGGAATTTATTAGAAACCTCGTCATCCCCATCAGCGCAAGAGTTAGATCCAAATGTTTCTGGCGCGGAAGACGATATGAGCCTGCAGATTGAATCAGAGCATATCAAGGTGTTTCCTTCTTGCATTTAGCCATCATCTTTATATATCTATACTTCATACTTGACTGATCAATTCATTTTTAAAATATCTGGTCAATTCTTAAAATATTGTTTTTTTTACCATTCTTGATACGTATTTTTATATATCTTCTATATATGTTACGTTACTCTTCTCGTAATAAACAAACAGTTGTCCTAATGTCGCTATCTTGTATATTGAAATTCTTCATGTTTTTAGCTTCTTAGCACCAATTTCTTATTGAACAAAATTTACAATGACGTAGACATAATGCGAACGAAGTTACGTTTTTTAAACTTCATTCCCATTCATTTATCATGGGCGTTTAGCCAATCTTTCAAATTACATTTTGTTACGTTAAGTTGTTTAGTTAACAGTATCAGTTCACGACAATACGACCTGGGCACCAATGTAATAATTAAGGAATTATAGAGAAAATGACTATTACGAGGTTAACGCTCAGGAAATATTTTTCTTTCTGATCTTGATTGTCATATTTTCCACTAATCAATGGATTATTTTATTTAAATTGTAAATTTCCTAGTTTTCTGGCTAGTATCCTTTCATATTTGTACATTAGCATCAATTATTTTTTTAATTATGGTTCCCCTTGATATGCGCTTACTTTCACATTTAGGCTCTTGTTCACCGACTCCATACTCAATGCGTTCAGCTGGCACACGCTTCATGTTCTCCAGGAGTTTCTGCTGAGGAAGTTGGCTTATTCCACGCATCTTCATCATTTAGATCGGGATCCTCTAATAAGAAGATTTTGGTTCCGGAGGCGTCCTCAGTAGAAGAGATCGAGTTTACTGATCAGCCTAATACAGCAAAATCCGTGCTGGGAACCTCCAGACTTGAGCAGGCTGAGGTTCGGGTTATCGAGCTTACGCGCGCCAACTGCTCCTTGAAATTGGCTATGATTACCCTTGCTGAGGTAAGCATCATTATCAGGGGGTTTGTCGGTGAGATTGCAAACCCTTCT